GGGGTGGGGGGGGGGGTGGTATTTAAATCGCTTCCTAGATGCTGCAGGGTAGCAGATAGATATTCAGCTAAATTTGGCATTAACGTAAAACATAGGCCTTGCTAGAAATGCTGATGCCCTGTCTCTTATACACATCTTGTTGCATGTAATTATTACTGTTTGCAAATTAATCATTCATTTTGTTGACAAACGGTGAAGCCATAAGGCGCAATTACGCTTTCGTAGGCAAAGTATACTAATTAGATAAATATTGTTTTTAAAGTATAATTGTACAATGAAGTTCCTGACGCTCGTTATTGCTACGGTCGTACTGGCAGATTTTTCTTGTGGTAAGGAAACATTGCTTCTTTGACAACATCAATGGTCGAACTACCCATCTCAAACCATAGCTTTACAAACTCAGCAATATATACTGGACTAATTTTAATGTGCAGTCTTTTTAGTCGATGTTTACCAGAGCTAGCAGAGATTTGAAAAAATAGCTATGATTTCATGATCGTACTAGTCGATCAACTTCTTTCTGTATTAATAAAATTATGATCACTGGTGTCAATTTTGAAAATCATAAATAATTATGAAATACTAGGTCGTATCTTTAACATTATTATATGATACAATTGTACTTTAGGGTTGACGTTCAATGTCGAGGTCAAAGTCGACCAGCCACCAAAGCCAACACCCAGACAACAGGATGATAAAGGAACGTTGTTTGTAACCCTGATTGGTCAAGAACATCAAACGCAAAAGACGCCTCTTAGCACGTAAGCTAGCAGTTCAAGTTGAATTGGATCTTAAACAGGGCCTAAACAGCGTCGCACAGTGGGCCAAAATTGGTTCAAAGTGTGCCAAAAGTCAATATTCATAAAATACTAGTTAGGTTCATGTTAAGAGTATTTAATGGGTTTTCAGTCCTGCCGAATTCAATAAAACTTATTATTTTTTTTAATACGCATGACGTCATCAAAATACTGTTTTGGTTTTTTTTTTTTTACTGGATGAGGAAAACGTTCATTGTAATACCTAAGCAGATTCATATTTTCCTTGGTTATTGAAATATTTAAGGAGTTTTCTGACTTTTAGATTTAAATGCAAGCATCTTTAAATTTGTATGACGTCATCAAAATACTGTTTTGCTTTTCTTTTTTTTTTTTAGTTTAAGAGGAAAATACCTTGGCAGATTCATATTTTCCTTGGTTACTGAAACATATAAGGCGTTTTCTGACCTGTGGATTTAAATGCAAGCATCTTTAAATATGTATGACGTCAGTAAAGTAACTTTTTTTAGAACGACGTAAATATTAATCTGGACAGATTCATTTTCCATAACTCAGTATGACACAAATGAAGGTTTCCAGACCGGAAATTCGAATTAGAACACATACACCGCAACGCTCGAGTTTCAAAATACGGGTAACTAGCTGTACTGAACTTTCTGTGTAAATTGAGGGCGCAATTAAAAATTATAGTGCTCAGGGGAAATTTAATTGGCCGAATCTATGGCAGCCATCTTGGATGGTACACACACACACAGCTCTGCGTATTTCGAACATCGAATACATTGCTGTTAACGCTCTAGTATTCTTATTATATCTCTATGGTTTCACGGGATTCGATATACGCGCGTGTGATTGGGTGGATCGCAATCACATGACTTACACCGGCCACGTTGTCACCAAAACAAAACATTAAAGCTATACGCGCGCATGCGCCTGGGCTGTTTGGTAACGACATGGCGTCCATGCGCCAAGTTGGCCAAACTCTCTCTATCTACGGCTCTGATTCGATTGTCAATAGAGCGCCCCCTACCTCGTGGTAGTAGTACCCATCATGCCTAAACCGGATTTACCTTTTTCCGCCATCTTTAATTGCTATATCGTGACATAGTGTCTACGCCTCCGTTGGGGGCAGTAGACACAAAAACGGCGCTTTTGTGGAGGCGGGGGGGGGGGGGGGGGTGGTATTTAAATCGCTTCCTAGATGCTGCAGGGTTGCAGATAGATATTCAGCTAAATTTGGCATTAACGTAAAACATAGGCCTTGCTAGAAATGCTGATGCCAAAATCATGACGGGAATCGCCGGGAATCTCAAGTGTCCTTTATTCTAAAAATACTCCAATAATGTCATTTTGTATTTTATTATCTAATTTGGTTATTAATAGATAAATACTGCATGAAGTATGTAATTGACTGCATTCTTTTAAGTAAAATCACAGGGAGTTTTTCAAAACTGCCAGTTTTATCGTTTTATGAGGAAAATTCTAGCTTGTTCATGTGTTTACATGTTTATATCACACTATAAAAATTCACCAAACATGAAATTATTGGTGGATTAATATAATTTAGGATGTTTCTACCTCAAACAACCTTGAAAAGTTTAAATTGTCACATCACCCATTTTTTTACATTTGGCACACTTTGAATTGATTCTGGCCCACTGTGCGTCGTCATGTGACGGTCGTGCGAATAATATTGTTAATAATAATAGTAGTATAATAATTCAATAACATTAATATAATTATATTTCTGATATTAATGAAATAGATTGTGTACATTAGATGGTATTGATAATTATATTTATTTTCCAGTTGATTTCATTTGCATGATTTAATTTATTAGTAGACCAAAATCTTAATGTAAGAAAAACAAATGTTTCACAGAAAATCTGAGGTTTTATCACCAGGCCGCGTATACACGTACAAACTAACGGATGTTCCCGATGACTTAGGTCAATTGATTGGCGTCTACCTGTACTGGGACTACGATGCAGACTGGTATAATCCATTGAAGTGGGATATCTGGATTAACCCTGTCATATACGTCCATCAGATGATGTTTACTGCCGTGGAAACAAACGATAAGTTAGTACAGAATTTTCCGTCAAAAAACTGGGAAAAATTTTTAGCTCAAGACGAATGATTATTTTAAAGTCCAATCTTTGCAATTGCCATGACTGTTTATGTAATATGTAATTATATAAATGTAATTGAATTACTGCGTTAGCTGATAGTACCATGAGACAGCACGTAGCATCATTTATAATTACGCACTCGCTCACTGCAATTGATAGAGTACGTAGCTTTATTAAAACGAAATAAGCCAAATGGCCAAATACAGTCGATTAGGAAGGTGTCATTGTTGCCACCAGAAATTTAAATTTAGTTTTGAGAATTATAGACATGAAAAAGACATATTGTGAAGATATTTCATTTTATCACCAATGTAGACCTACTACATCCATTAACATTATATCTTATAGCTGAGTATGTTTTAAACGAGTGAATATTATTATTTTCTACCAGATACCTATTGTGCGGCAGTAAAGTACCAATCGTGGCGGGAAAAGACAACAGAGCATTTTTCGTTAATTCGGCATGCGTTTGAACATTGTGTGGTAACTGAATCCGGTTTTCGACAAGGCGAATTTATTCGCGCGAATCGAAAGCGTCGGTTCATGCACATGCGCATTCACATTCCTATGGGAGTTTTTGCGAAGCGAAAAAATGCGTAACCAATCAGAGCTCAGGAAGCGAACCGACGCTTTGATTCGCGCGAATAAATTCGCCTAGTGGAATACCGGTTTCAGTAGACTTCTTGATATAAAGAAGATAATCTTAAAACATGTTTTACACAAAAAAAATATGTTTTTGTTATGTTGTTTCTTGTCAATTAATTAGTAAATCAATCAATTGAACATCAGAGTCATGGCTCGGAATTAGGCTTTTTAATAATAAAGAATAGATAGTAATAGTAAACGATATCGTTTTCACTGGTACTAAAAATTGAATAAATGATCATAATAATAATTAGCATTAAATGATAAGTTTGCAAAAACAATTATGTTGTTGTTTTGTTTTTCTTTATGAAATTATGAAGCTTAAATGGGCAGTCAATCAATCAATTAATCGATCAATTATTATCAATCAATTTATTAAGATAGTAAAATTACAATCACAAAAATATCCTCTAAACATTTTAATAAGTTATATAAAATGCCAGGATTCCAAAACATAGGATAAGGGAAAAGGAAGACCGACAACTACAATCAACGAATCCTGATGGAAGAAAACTGGCCTATTAGATGGAGAATTTCAAATCATCATGAAAGATCGAAATATTTCGGGACCAAACACAGGGCCGACAAAAATTCAGTAAAAAGTTAGCGACTCTTACCACCAAAAAGCTGCTCACCAAGCAAAACCAACAAATAAAATAGTTTATGAACGATGACCCAAAACATATGTAACAACGGCAGCAACTCTTGCCAAACAGCTAATTAAAAACAATATATTTCTTTTAACGTTTACAAATGGTTTGCGGATAACAATTCAAAAGTCAGAAATGACCAACTCTTACCAAACAACTCCTCATCACCTCTGCACCCCATAATAGGGGAGGGGAAAACCTCAACCCTCCTTCTCGGATCACAGGTATTGATTGGCACTCCTCCTTCACGAGGGAAAATATCCTAGATTTTACTCTACCTCGTCAGTGTAACAAGTGACCTATCACGCGCTGCTGTTTCTGAGCTTTCAAGTGGCCGTCTGACCATTATTTTGCTGAGATAAATATATTTTTTATAATAAAAAAAAAAACAATTTTTTCCTACTTTTTACTTTAGTGAAATATTTTGTTAAATTATATTATTATTATTATTATAAATTCACTCTACTCTAGGCTACATCACCGCGCTTCCCCCCCCCCCCCCCCCCCCCAATTTTTTTTTTATTATAAAAGATAGAGAAAAAAAGAAAATTATGATAAAATAAATGAGATAGTGCCATTTTCCGCCATCTAGCGGTGCCAAAACCATAACTTTTTTTCTTACCTCAGCCCCAACCTTGGTGGGACAGAGGTCCTTGACTCGCTTTCTGTGAAAGTCCCCCTCCGGCGCCCCTCAATTTCGAATTCCTGGATCCGCCAATAGATGACACGAAGTTTAGCTAACTGATATGTACAGTGTTCTTCGACGATAATACAGTAATAGTCTTGTTGCAACAGCCAATGTCAGTAACAGTCAAATAGCCTCTTGTCTGTAAGTCTGAAATCCCATACTTTATTTCTAGTTCTAAATGCTTCATATATTTAAATATTTTAAAATGTTACAAATTGTACACTTCAAATTTTTGAAATTTCAGAGTGTTCTAAAAAAAAATTGAACGTCAGTCACAAATTCCCGGGTGTGATAATATTTGATTTCTAAAAATCGAAATGCTTCGTATGTTTCAACATTTTACATTGTCAAATTATGATACATCAAAAATCGTTTTTTAAGTTTGAGAGTGCTATTCCGAGCGTCAAGAAGTGCTAAATTCTTTTAAAAATCGCAACCTCACCCCTAACCATGGTGGGGATGAGAGTTGGTGTGGACTCTCCTGCCTGACCAATACTTTATAAGTGCTTCTGAAGGTACAGTATATCCGTAGAACTTCCCCCTACCCTATGCTCTCAGGGCAATCACCCTTACTAAGAGTTACTAATGCATAATTAATAGATTAAGAAATTGAAATTACAATGGATCTGAATCTGATAAGCGCAACAAATAGCCAAATAAACTGGATACATTTCCGGGAGTAATAATCTTCCAGTTTGTTGACGCTTTTAACTCATTTCTAATTTTGGTTTGTTTCGTTCGTTGTTAAATTGACATAAGATTGTAAATGCATCTTCGAAACCGGTTGAAAATAAATTTTTATCAATTAATAGCTGTTTGAATTGATAAGAAAAGCATCACTTTGAGGTAATCGCCTGTAAATACGTAATAAAAATCGTATATAATGTAAAATGTGTTTTGCGTAAACTCACTCTACTCTAGGCTACAACACCACCGAAAGACAACATGCTAGGTTTAATTGTTTGTTTCTTGGCTTTCGTGTCCTCGTTGAATTATGTTAAAGGTAAGAGTTATTTCTTTTCTCAGTGTTCATCAAATTTTAGTGACTCTACTCTAAATTAAGCAGTGTACTTAGAAAAGAGAATAAGTCTATATAAAATATTCATAACAAATGGTGTAGGCCTACGTGAAGTAAAAATATTTAAGATCTTATTATGATTAAATAGATAGCTATCCCGAAAGAAGTTAACTATACCGAATTATCTTAAATAAATTTGTGATGTGCCAAGCGGCAACGGTACAAGGTATCCATTAATATCACGAGTTCCATTATCAAATTATAGTAAATAATTATTTTACAGGAACCACCTGTTATGACGAACTCGGTTGTTTTGAAAAAGGCTATCCATTCTATGACTTCCCCGTTCGTCCCATAAATTCCTTACCATCGTCCAGAGAAGAGGTTGGAACTCAATTCATCCTTCATACCCGACGGAATATTATTCAAAATGAAATCATATCCAGAAACGTGTCACACTCGATTTTGAATTCAAACTTTGACCCTTCAAACCCAACAAAGTTTATAATCCACGGTTTTCAAGACAGCGGATTCGCAAAATGGGTGACAGAAATGCATC